CTAAGCGCCAGCCCCTGGTTGTAGGAAGCCCTAAAGGGGGTACAAAAAAAGGAAACACTGAAAAGGCTACAGTGAGTTGTCCTTTTTAACCAAGGAGTGGTAATCAAATCACTCGTGAAGAATCAATCATCATGCTTGGGCGATCTTTGTCCGGTGAAGCGAAGGAGTTCATGCGATCATTGGACAGTCGTGAGTGTGCGTCTGCCTGTCTGCCTGTCTGTCTGTCCGGAGCGCCCATCCCAGGGACGGTGGCCACTTTAGATTTTTAATTGTAGGGACCGCTGTCAATTTAGCGACTTTGGAGAAGATGAAAACTGTTCGAGGAACTGAGGTGCGCTGGTAGTAGAGCCGAAGGGGTCCAGGCGGGTTCAAATGGGAAAGGTGTAGAAGTGGTGGAGAGTGGTGTGCACACCCATAAAAATTGTCTTAATTCTTCCAGGAATGTCTTCGGACGGCGCCTCGAAGAGGCAGGTATTTTCTTCCTGTCCTGGTCCCAAAAATAATTCCCTTGACCAAAGTCAAGGGGGCGAATAGTGGGGGTTGGAGTGCGCTTGTGAAAATGTGTTGTGGCTTTACGAAACAATTGTGGATGACGTTTTCTTTATACTTGAAAATAATGACCATGTCCCTTCAAATAGATGAAATTTTCGTGGAAGGTCCTAGACTTATTGCATCAGCGTGACGGCATATGTCATCAACTGGTCAGATACCTTTCTTCTAAGGAAAGCTAGTCTTGAAATTGTCACCAGGTCACGACCGAAACTTTCACAGTGTGGGAGGCTGGTGAGCCATACATGGCCACAGGTTGGGTCTCACTCACGTATAGCGGTAGCGTCCCCGCCTCGCCGCAAGGATACCCGGGGTGGAGGTCGCTGCGAGCGCTACGCGTCTCGGCAGTCCTCGCGGAGTTCCGTCGCTCAAAACCCAACGAAAACGCCATCCACGATATTGTCATGGAGTGACATCAAATTTTGACACTGCAGGGATCAAGTACAACACCAAGTCACGCTGAGGCCATTTTGACCCAAATCGGAATCATTATGAGCTCAAAATCTCAAGCTGATACCTTTTACTCTCGAGCTTTGGACTCATTGACATCAAGTTGACTGTTTTGTTCTCCTTGGTTGGCTATTTGCTCTGTTCTCATTGGTTGCCCATTGCTTCCCTCTCCGGCCACTAAGAATTGTCCCAGACGCTTCTTGCGAACCCCACCTGTTCGAGCGTCGTTTCTAATGACGCTTTTTGTAGGTGCGTTGTGCGGTTGTGCGCCGTGCACTCGAACACGGCACGAGGCTCGCTGTGCTCAAGTCGTGAGCCCAACGGTTCAGAACTAGTGAGTGACCTCCTTTCTAGTGGCGCGCCGGGGCGGGGCGGGGGGCGGGGCGGCAGAGGCTGCGCGCTGCTCCATCGCGGCTACACTCTTTGGGGGCGTCGAGATTCCTTTTCATGTCACTTCCACCCATTCCACGTAACTGGCGGTGTCCCCTACTGTACAGTGGGTCAGAAGACCGGCGCAGGCAGCCAAAATTCTGGAAGAGTTTTGAGCTCCAGAGTCGCTACAGGACTCGAACCGCTCGTGTGACCCCACCAATGGGTTCCTCGTTCGGAGAGCAATCCATTGGTAGGGTCTTACGTTCGGTTAGAGTCTCATTTAGCGACTCTGGAGCTCAAAAGGCCTCCGGCATTTTGACCGCCTCACCGGTCTTCTGGCCCACTGTGCGCCGCCAGTCCGTAGACCTGGGCTCGCGGGTTTCTGGTGCACGGTGCATACGCATTCGTGTGGAAGACTGTTGAGGCTCGTTGGATTTTGATGCCGGTTCGTCTAGACGTCTAGACGCCCACACTGGAACGGGGTCGCTGTGTTTCTGGCGCATGCGGACACTTTGCAGCCGCCGTCCTATCGGCAGCCGTCGTTGCGCTTTGATGGCGATCGGTCTAGACTCTAGAACTCGGTGCGGTCGGTGCGCTTGGGACGGGTGCTAGTGATTGTCGGTGCATCGTCATTTGACGAGACGACTGGGCATGAAGAATGGAGCGAGCGGCGTCGCGTCGCTTCGAGCGCGGCTTGCAGTGTGGCGGCGCGTCGCGCGAGGCGTAAACAAAGGCACTCGCTCATTTCATTATTTTCATCGCCGTCTAGACGCGTGCCGATCAATTATGAACGCGGCCTGCACTCGCGTGTGCGCTGCACCTTTGCACTCCGGCGGCACACAGTGGGCCAGAAGACGCGTTTTGAGCTCCAGAGTCGCTGAAATGGACTCGAACCGAACGTGTGACCCCACCAATGGATTGCTCTCCGAACGAGCAATCCATTGGTGGGGTCAGACGTTCGGTTCGAGTCCCATTCAGCGACTCTGGAGCTCAAAGCGCGTCCCGGATTTCGACCGCCTCCACCGGTGCAGGACGAGCGTGGCGCTGTCCGCTGGACTCCGCTGGACATCGCAGGGGTCCTGTCCGAGAGGTCCTCGCGGGGCCCTGTTTCGCGCGGACCGTGTCCCCTCTCTGTTTTTGTTTGTTTTATATTGCAAACTGTTTTTGTTTTTATGATTCGGCCGCCTTTTGGGAGTGGTGTGCTCTGGGGAAATTAGCCTACGCGGCGTGTGCGTGAATTTGTGTACGGTACGGGGGAGGGGGAGGGGAGGGGAAGGGGGTGGCGAGCGAGGAAGATGGAGAGGTGGAAGTTCACGTGTGCGCCGCTGGCGCCGTCCTGTACTGCCCCCCAGCGGACTCCCTCCCCCTCCCCTCCCCTCCCCTCCCTTCCCCTCCCCTCCCCTTCCCCTTCCCCTTCCCCTCCCCTCCCCTCGCCCTCCCCCTCCCCTCCCCCCCCCTCTCCCCTCCCCCACCCCCAAACGGAATGGGCTTTAATAATTCGTGGTCTGTGCGGCTCGCTGGCGTTCGCTGGACGGCGGGCGTGGCTGGGGGCCTTGAGGGCCTTGGTCACCACCACAGTGTCACCTCCATCAAGTGCGGGCCCCTATCTCCGGGCAGGCCGTCCAGGGGGCCAGGAGGCCGGTGGGGGCGGCCTTCCAGACGCGTTTTGAGCTCCAGAGTCGCTAAGCAGGACTCGAACCGAACGTGTGACCCCACCAATGGATTCCTCGTTCGGAGAGCGATCCATTGGTGGGGTCACACGTTCGGTTCGACTCCTGTTTAGCGACTCTGGAGCTCAAAACGCGTACGGGATTTTGGCCGCCTCCACCGGTCTTCTGGCCCACTGTGGGCCGCTCGCGGCGGCCAGCTGTTCGAACGGGCCCAGTAGTTGCGTCACTACTGCTTCTCCTTCTTCTTCCCCTTCTCGCGCTCCTCGGTGTTCATATTCGCTTGTTTACCGAGGCGGGCGTGTACAGTGTGCTGCCCTCGCCGCTGAGCCGGCCGGTGTGTTGTTTCTTGTCCGGGGTTTTTTCCTGATTAGCCTAAGTTGACACGTGAATGAATACCAAAGTGGCGGTCGAAGCGAAGATTTCGCGAAAATAGATTTGGCGCGCACTCATTGAGGCAACAAGTGCATTCACGGACGGGCCGTCCTAAAATAACAATTGTCGTACAGAGCAACACAAAGGGGCCAGGGAAAAAGCGGTCGGATTAAAAGTCGAGATAACGACACTGTTTTTGTTTTCTTCTGAAACAAAAGCCACTTGATTTGGCTGGCGTCCACTGCGCGCCGCTCCAGCCGGCCCGTTGCTCCGTTGCCATGGCGACGATAACCTGATCGATAATCCCGACTGCCATATTGCGGTGATCCATCAGACAATGTGAAACCGTGAAACCCGATAAGCGCCACCAGCGCCACGCCCCGCGCAGCGCAGCGGCCCAGCACAGTGGCCCAGAAGACCGGTGGAGGCGGCCAAAACTCTAGACGCGTTTTGAGCTCCAAAGTCGCTAAATGGGACTCGAACCGAACGTGTGACCCCGCCAATGGATGGCGCTCTGAACGAGGAATCCATTGGTGGGGTCACACACGTTCGGTTCGAGTTCCATTTAGCGACTGTGGAGCTCAAAACGCGTCCCGGATTTTTGTCATGCTGCTGGCTTTGCTGCGTAGTACGTAGTAGTGCCATTGTCTGACGGAAGATATTCTGGCCGGGCGTCGTCGCAAGAGGCGCCTGTGTGGGGAATTGATAAAGTCTAGGATGTCTGTCTGTCTGTAGTGGCGCTCCGCATGCGTGCGGGCGTACCGGGGCGTACCGGGGCGTACTAAAGGCGTTCCAAGGCGTACCGAGCGCACGCACGCCTAGGTGGTAATGGGAGCCAAAACAGGCGGGGCGGGGCGAGGCGGAGCGGAGCGGAGCGCTTCAAATTCACTGCGAAGCGGCCCGGGCCTCGCGGGGAAGGCCTTGCCTTGGCGGGGCGAGGCGGGGGCAATTGCTTCCCAAGTCACGTGATGTTCCCGGCCGCACCGTTAACTCGGCCAGGCGTGCTTTCGACTCGCGGTGCTCGCGGCCCGCCCGAAAATACTCTGCGCGGAAAATGGGGGAAATGGGCGCCGGTTCACGGTTCGCGGCCCGCCGGCGCGTTTTGAGCTCCAGAGTCGCTACGCAGGACTCGAACCGAAACGTATGACCCCACCAATGGATTCCTCGTTCGGAGAGCAATCCTGGTGGGGTCACACGTTCGGTTCGAGTCCCAATTAGTGACTCTGGAGCTCAAAACGCGTCTAGAGTTCTGTCCGCCGCCACCGGTCTTCTGGCCCACTGTACCGCGCCGATAGGCCCGTCGGCTGCTCGCTCGATCTGCGCTGCAGCGTTCGCCGGCGACACGTCCGACCGCAAAAAGCGCATTTTTCTCATTTTTGGCGGCGTTTTCCGCCTGGCTCGGTTTTACTGCGCTTTGTTTTGCGGCTCTCTGACGCGGTTCTCTCCCTCTCTGTCCAGCAGGTGTCGCTGGTGCTGGCGGTGCTCTGCGCGGCGCTCGGCTCGGCGGCCGCTGCCCCCGGCGGGGCTGGCGGGGCTGGCGGGCAGGCCGCGGAGGCGCGCGCCCCGGCCGGCCGCTGCGGACAGGGCCGCTACTGGAGCGCGGTGCTGCGCCACTGCGTGGAGTGCACACACTGCGCGGGGCCCGGCCGCGAGGTGACCGTCAGACCCTGCGACGGCGTCCGGGACGCGCAATGCGGCTCCATCCGCGACCTGGACATCGACTGGGAGTGGGTGCGCGACCGCGGCGTCGGCAGCGGCAGCGCCGGCCTCGGCAAGGTCAAGGGTGAGTACGAGTGCGACATGCGGCCGCTACGCGCTGTGGGCCGGGAGGCCAGTGGAGGCGGTCGAAACTCTAGACGCGTTTTGAGCTCCAGAGTCACTAAATGGGACTGGAACCGAACGTGTGACCCCACCAATGGATTCCTCGTTCGGAGAGCAATCCATTGGTGGGGTCACACGTTCCGTTCCAGTCCCATTTAGCGACTCTGGAGCTCAAAACGCGTCTAGAGTTTTGGCCGCCTCCACCAGTCCTCTGGCCCACTGAGGTTGGCAACCCTCTGTACACTAGTGCGGTGAGGGAATTTTTGCATACTCATGGGGCAACACGTTGATTTGGAACACAAAGGTATGTGTTGTGTGTGCCCTCGAGCTGAAAACGTGCCCAAACTGACTATGGTCCCCACTGTGCCGTGCCGCGGCAGCAGAGTCAGTCTTTCCTGTACACATTTTGAGGGTCAAGGAGCCTCGCTGCATACTTTCCATGTTATCTGCCACGCTCGGTGACTTCATCTATGCATGAGTTTGCCGCCGCTTTGCATAGCCTGTCTTGGCTCACACCGCACAGTGGGCCAGAAGACCGGTGGAGGCGGTCAAAACTCCAGACGCGTTTTGAGCTCCAGAGTCGCTAAACAGGACTCGAACCGAACGTATGACCCCACCAATGGATTCCTAATTCGGAGAGCAGTACATTGGTGGGGTCACACGTTCGGTTCAAGTCCCAGTTTGCGACTCTGGAGCTCAAAACGCGTCTGGAGTTTTGGCCGCCCGCGCCGGGTTTCTATCCCACAGTGCACCGGGCTCACGCCAGGCTCGAACCGGGGTGCATACGGCAGCCTGTTTTATCGCCCACTTCGTCCCGTACGAGGTTGACCTATTGGCGCGCGCGTTTTTAAATCCCGCCGCCTCTCGGGGTTTATGACTTTGCTCCGTCTCCCTCGCACTCGCGCAGCGGCGCGAATGGGTGCGAGAGAGAGACAGAACCGCGGTGCAGGTTTTCAATTCCCACACGTTTGCATTGCAGGAACCCCCGGGCTGCACGAGCGCATCAACTCGCTGTCGGAGGCCGAGGCCCAGCTCCGCGATGAGCTCAGGCACTTGCCGCCGCCGCAGCACCCGCAGCACCACGCCGTCAGCGACAGGACGGACAGGCTGGTGGACTTCGGCGACGACTACATCCTGCCGGACCACCCCCGGCAGCCCCAGCCCAAGAAGGAGAAGAAGCACCGCAGGAAGAAGGTGCCGCACCACCGGCCCGCGCCAGTGAGTACCTCGAGCACGGTGGATTTGCCAGAAGGCCGGTGGAGGCGGACAAAACTTTAGACGCGTTTTGAGCTCCAGAGTCGCTAAATGGGACTCGAACCGAACGTGCGACCCCACCGATGGATTGCTCTCCGAACGAGGAATCCATGGGTGGGGTCACACGTTCAGTTCGAGCCCTGCTGAGCGACTCTGGAGCTCAAAACGCGTCTAGTAGAGTTCTGGCCCAGTGTGAGTTAGTTTCCCCGGTTTTTCCGGCTTTGTTACACCGCCGTCCCTCTTGATTTCCTCCAGAAGCCGTTCGGGGACTACGACGACTTCGGCGACTTCGGCGCGAGCGGCGACGCGCATGTGGACATGAGCGACGACGAGGACCTGGCCATGGCGTCGTGGAGCCGCCTGCACCACCACGGCCGCGCGTCCAGCACGCCCTCGCCCTCCACCACGCCCACGCCCACCACCACCACGGCCAGGCCGACCACCAGCGCCGTCAACCTGGTGGAGGACTTCATCGTGGAGAAGGAGGTGGAGGAGGCGCTGCGGCACGTGCCGCACATCGACGTGGTGGCCACGACGCAGACCTTCTCGACGGCCGAGACGCTGGTCTGGGACTGGCAGGCCGGCGTCCTGGTGGCCGCCGTGTGCGCCTGCCTCCTGTTCTTCATCGTGGCCGCGGCCTACTCGTGCCAGCACGCGCTGCACTTCAAGAAGCTCAAGAAGCACCTCGACGCAGGTCAGTGGAGACGAGTTCTCGCGCCACAGTGGGCCAGAAGACCGGTGGAGGCGGCCAAAACTCGAGACGCGTTTTGAGCTTCAGAGTCGCTGAACGGGACTCGAACCGAGCGTGTGACCCCACCAATGGATTGCTCTCCGAACGAGGAATCCATTGGTGGGGTCACACGTTCGGTTCGAGTGCCATTTAGCGACTCTGGAGCTCAAAACGCGTCTCGAGTTTTGGCCGCCTCCGCCTGTGGCATGAGTGCGACAGAGACAGTGCGGCGATACGATTCTTCGGAATCCCTCGGCGGTCAGACCCGGTGGTCATCAGGCCGATTTCGAATGGCGCTTTCCTCGCTCTGTCTCTCTCGCACCCCAGCGGCACGCCCCGTGAGTGCGAGAGAGACAGAGCGACGACGCGGTGTTCGGAGTCGGCCTTCAGGGGCGGGCCGGGCGCACACCTCGGACCGCCAAGACACTGGTGAAAGTGCCGCGGGCGCGCGGCCTGTGCTTTCGTTCGCCGCATAAGTCCCGGTTGTCCCGGTAGGTCCCAGGGCCGGGACCCAGGGCCGCCAGGGCCGGGCAGGGCTCCAAGAAAAAGGAGGGGGGGGGAGGAGGAGGATGTCACCACGGTGGACGGACCATCGCGCGCCTCGGCGTAGCCACGCCGCCGTCCTTGATGCGACTTAATTAAGACAAAAGTTATTTATTCCCCCTGTGCCTCTCGTGCGTGTGTGTGAGTGTGAGAGGGGGTGGGGCCCGAGACGGGCAGGCTTCCGGGCTACGCGGCGCACACAGCGCGTACTTCCGCCGCAGGCTTGCCCCCGGGCCTGCCTGCCTGCCCGGCCTGCCCCTGCCTCACCGTACGTCTTGGTGTCTGAACCCCTTCCTCTCGTCCCGTCCTGCAGGTCCAATGGTCTTTGAGGCATTTTGAGCCCTGCTCCTTGAGTGGTGCTTGACCGCGCTGTGCGCCTCTCTGTTGCAGACATGGAGGAGATCTCCACCCGACTGGCGCTCATGGCGGCCATGGGGTCGGAGAACTTGCAGGACGGCGGGGCCGGCGCGTCGTCGGCGGAGAAGGCTGACATGGCTTTTCCAGTGAGAAGAGGTGAGTGGGAGTTGGAACGACCGACTGGCCCAGGGTGTTCGCAAGACTCGCTGGGCCAGAAGACCGGTGGGAACTCTTTTGCATCTCGGGGGGCATGCGCGCCATAGAGAGCCGCGCCACCAAGGTAGGCCACCCATTTGGCACGGCGGAGTTGGAGGGAGCTAGAGCCCTACATCACCCCGGGCTCTAGAGGGAGCCGACGGCAGATGCAGATGGACAGACGTGTATTTGCTTCGCGTCTTTATAGCCAAGCTTGCCTGGTAGCACCGCGCCGTCAAGGTAGGCCGCCCATTTGACACGCTGCCACAAAAAGAGCGTTGCGGCGGAAAATATGGGCCTTATCCAACCGGGATTTGAACCCAGGTTTGTCTAGCCACGGCCGACATCTCAGCCCACTGAGCCACCGAGACACTGATTGATAGGTGTCCGTCTAAACTTAGAGTGATGGTACCGCATTCAAGCAGTGAACTGAGGAAAATATTCCTGAACGTGGGATTCCATGCTCTCTTGGTAATGTGTTCGCCGATGTTGATACTGACGGTACGAGATTCAAAGTTTAACTGAGGAAAACATTTCCACACCTGGGATTTGAACCCAGTTTCGACGCCAGGTCCTTCTATTGGTAGGGGGAATGACGCACTTGCCGACTGAGCTACCGGGCGGTGTTCCGATTGCCCGGCCAACCGACCGTCTGTGACCGACCGACCCTTTAGCGACTCTGGAGCTCAAAACGCGTCTAGAGTTTTGGCCGCCTCCGAGTTGCTGGATTTCGTATGTACTGACTGACCATTCCGCCTCCGTTGCAGGTGACCACCTCCGCGCTGGAAGACAACAGAACGAGTACTGCCTAGCGGCGATGCCCACCAAGACCCGCGTGTAGCCGTGCCGGCCGTGCCCGCGTCGCTACGCGTTGCCAGTGTAGAGGGCAACACCCACATTTCACACCTTGTACAAATTAGAGACCTTACTTTTCGTACCAAATTGATTGCTTCGTATATTTGTTGTAAATAGTTGAAGTGGAAAAAAAAAATATCTGTGACTCTTCTTGTTTTTTGTGTCTTTTTTTGTTTCTTATTTTCAAAAAGCAGGAGAGAAAAATAAATTTATGAAATTACCCATTGTACTGTGCTTTGCCTCCAGAAAATCTAGACATGAACGAGACCAAACTGGTTTCCATTCTTTATTGCAGTTAATCATACATATTTTACATTTTGTTTGGCATAAAGGGTAAGACTTATTCTTCAGCATTACTCTATTACTTTTAAAAATAATACTGCATGAAGTATAACAGACAATCCATGCATTGTACTCCAGAATAATAATGACAGAGCATAATATTCACACAGCAGCATGGCAAATTAATTTGGCACCTTTCATCAAGTTTCAACACAGCACATTATAATTTTCCACGGCTGTATTCTTTTCCCAAAGAGAACCTTCCAATACTTCTGTGGCAATCGAACCAAATCTCACACATCTCTTTTGCTGATGTAGCTGGAGCAGATTACTCTCATAGCTGGATATAAATATTCCTCGTATTGAGCAAATAGTAAAGTAAAGGGGAAAAACACAATATAATTTGCAAGTATTAGCAGAATATTTTTGCATTGTGAAGGGTATATCCAAAATACTAGCTTCCAAATAACCTTTTTTTGCTGCATACTAATCAAAGAATGAAAATAGCTATCTGGCAATATGGTTCTTAAAATATGAGCAAGCCAGAGCAGCATTACCGAACTAGCCCAATTTACAATCTAAACTGCAATTGTAGACCAGAGTTACTCTCTATGGATAAGTTCACATTAATTTCTCCCAGCTCAAAGTAAAACACTTGACATACTATCCGGAATGAAAGAAATGATACCCATGTGTCTCCTAACTCAATGGATGTCCACACCAAAGCTGACCTTACAAAATTCTTTTGAACATGGAAGGATGATGGGATCATTTCTTTTGCCGCTAGTAGTGTACCAACCTCAAAAACTCACTTCAGTTCAGTGGATAAACGAACATAAACACATCTTCATTTCAGTTGCAACTGATTCAGTACAATTGAAGTTATTCCCAATGTGCAATTCTCCACTTACTTGTTAACAGCCATCATTGAGCCTGATCGAGCTTGACTTTGCAGATATTGAAAAGTGCCCTCTTTATGAACAAATCTAGAAACAAACATTAACAACAACAGAGATTTTGTGAACACAAGACTGTTAATCTGACAATACATTAGCTTATATTTACATAGAGAAGACAGGTACATAAAGGACAACAGTATTCATACATAGAGTCTATGGTAGCTCTACTGAAAGAAAGGTTTCCTTTCAAAAGAGTAAGAGTAACTGTTAAAACAATATCTTTGCCATCCATGGCAAATAACAAGAGTACACATGTCACGTTTTGGTCACTAAATCTGATAGCTTTCAAATCAGATAACGTCTCACAATTGGCTTGAGAATATCATACAAGATGGAAACACAATTATTAATGTCATAATAATAATAGGAATAAATAGAATACGATAACACCATTTGAGTTCATTTGAACAGACTGCGTTCAGATTTATAAATATGGGGAATGTTTTGCAGAACAAACAAGATAAGTTTGTCACTAAAACTACATTGCTCTTAAATTTTATTGGCTACTATGGTTCTGCTCGGGAGACTGTTCATATAATTATGCAAGCACAGTAGAAAAAGATCAACAGAGATATTCAGATAAGGATACTAAAATCATTTTTTTTTCAAAAGCCATCAAGACACCATCATACTGATTCAAAAAGTCGAATCTAGGCCCAATAAAATTAAAGGAAAAACAAAAACAGATCAACATGCACAGTGTTTAAAATCTATAATAGAGTTCATCTTGGTTAAGCATTCTCAATAATTCGACATTATAAAACAACTTAGTGTAGTAGAATCTTTAAAACCCTACAAGCCTTTTAGAGCTTATACAACATATGATTGATTTAAATAAAAGGTCAAAGTTTGATAGAGACTTTAATAGAGTAACAAACAGAATAAAACAATAAAATTCAAAACAAAAAGGAAACAAATATTTTTACTGCAGCATAAGGTAGAGTTAAAATTTCTTTGGTAATTGATTACTACTGAGTTGATAAAAATATAAAAAGCATTTGACAACACATATCGTAGTCATTAGTCCAATCAGAGGCAAATGCTTTCCGCTTTCCCGGAGACAGAAGCAGCATGGGGAACTACTTAAAACTTGTGCACACACAGAGAGTATAGGGTATGTTTTCAGGTCCAGTGCAAATGAATAACAGAATAAAATTACATGGTCCTCATGTAAGTCTGGCCATCAAAAGACAGTGTTCTTGTTCAAATAATGATAGGGACAATTTTAAAAACTGAAGGTAGAGCCTGTAACTTTACTTTGAGCATTCAATTTTGCTGTAAAAGTGACAATGACACGGATCACTAAGGTACTTGCCAAACATCATGGCAGCATAGTCTTAACATTCGTTTTATAAATGGCATAAATGTTCATAGAATGGACATTTTCACTATAAGCCTAAGTAGCCTAATAAGAAAAACAATTGGTACACGGCAAAGAAAAGAACTTTATAAACGTTAAATTATCACAACAGTGTCGCTGCCTGTGGTTGACCACATACAGTAAAAAGGGAATTGAAAATTATCTATTGTAAGTTTACTATACAGTCTCAGTTACACTTCAGTAATTTATACATAATAGAACTACATATGTACATGTTAAATACTGAACAGAAAGCAAATTGATAAACATTTTAGCTAAATTGATTTTTATTCACAAGAGAAACTTTGAGATTAGTTTATGTAAGTGAATATTTCCTTTAAATTTTCAGAAAGATAAAGAGACCTTAAAAATGGTCAAACAATGATTGGGGTGTGACAACATAAAGAAGAACATAAAATAAAAAGACTTTCGAAGCTTGTACAAGGTCACTGTCATGACTCATAGACTACTGCAGAGTAAGTTTGAGGAAGCCTACTGACTATTTAATCTTCCTCCACCAACTGATGGGCCCTTTGGAGTGGTGCCCACAATGCGAACTCTTGTCACAAGGCGATTATCACAAAACTGAGGTGGGGGCGCAAAGACTTCCTCAGTGGGAGTTGGTCCACCGGCGGCACCGAACTGGGGAGGTGGTGGCACAAAGACACCCTCGGCCCCAGGCTCATCGGCCTCTGCCTCCAGTGGAGGAGGAAGCTGCGCAAGAGATACTGCATTCCTGGTCAGTAAGCCCTGAGCATGATAGGCAGCTCTCTGCTGTTGCTGCTGTCGCTGTGAAGGTAGGGTCATGGAGTTGGAAATGACCTGCAAAACAAATGACACCAACCACACATTCAGAGACAATCAGAGGCAAATGTACGAGACTGAGAAGGTAAGCAAGCAGAATATTTACCTGTCCACCTTTCTGCTGGAACTTGACAGAGCGAATTTGAGGGTTGTTCTCCAGGGATGAAGGGCCACCAGGGATTTCCTGGTCCGAGCTCACTCCACTCGATGAGTTGTCTCCATCTTCCACTGCACCCTCTTGCCCATCCTTAGTGCCATCTTGATTCAAGAGGAAATCGTTTGGATATGATTTGGAACTCTTCAGCCGAGTGCGGACCTTTTGAATTTCATCAACACTGAAGCTGTGAGTCATGCTCCCGCTTCCACTTGAACTTTCTGAATTTCCACTTCCTTCATTGTTGTTGTTGTTGTGAGAGATGGAGCTTTTGACAATGCCTTCCTCCTGCTCCCTCGCATCCCCTTCACTGCCTTCGCCTTCACTCAGGCTGTAGTCAGGATCGGGGATAGGAGGTGCTGGCACCTGCAACAAAGGGACTCAGATCAGACCCAGAGCAAATAAAGAAAGAAACTTAAAATGAAATGGACTAAGGAAGAGCCACTCTCTTACCTGAGAGGAGCCATTGGCTTGATTGGCTGCTTGGTTGGCCAACAATCGGTTCTTAGCTTCTCGTCTTTCTTTGGTACTTAGACTGCGCCGACAACGGAATGGCTGAGCGTATTGGTTTGCTTCGGCACTATTTCCATTCCCACTGATTGTACTAGAGTTATTGTTAGATCCGATAGAAATAGTTGTAACCAGAGTTGGACCCTGATCAGACATTTGGTGCTGCACAGGCTGCTTGTGAGTAGATGGTGGAGAACGCAAACTATTAGCTTTACGAACCTGAAAGAGAATATTTACATCAAGCAATGCTCAGAGAATTAATAGATGAGGAAAGAAAAAAAACATATCTCAACAGTACTTACTTGAGGCCTTGATGCAGGAAGAGTAGAGGTGCGATACCCAACAGCTTTTATTTCATCAGGTGAGGCATATAGCTTGGCACTACTGCTAGGCCTGAAGCTTGACATGTAATTTTCATTCGAATCTGAAGCCAATCCAGCAGTATTAATGTAATCACTTCCCTTGGCTACAAGAAAAAAATGATTGAAAATTATTTTTATTTACTGCGTTAGATAACAGCATAACTAGAAGGATTTTATAAATTACCTGAACCGTTTGTTTCCTTGACATCAACTTTGACAATTTGCGTCGGAGGCGGGGGTGGGGGGTGGTTAGGGGGTGGCAGCGGGGGGCGTCCATTCATGATGGTGGTGACGTCATCCTCACTGCGATGGCTCTTCGGTACACGGTGGTCGACAGACCCGTTTGGCAGGCCTGCCATCGTTGGGAAAACGAGAGAAAAAAAAAGATAAGAATCCACAGAAACTTCTCTGACCTTAGACATGGCAAGATGAGTTGCTGTCGTCACGTATGACATACCGTTGTAAATGCCAGAGCGAGCTGCTAGGTCCGGTGTACTGTGGAAGTCTCGGTGAAGTTCCGTTATGCCAGAGATACCCGCGATCGAGAAACGCACCCGAGAATTGGCCTGAAACATTGAAAGGCACCCATGTATTCTGCGTTCTTGGCAGAGGTTTGTCATCTACGCGATATGCAGTAAAACATGCTCCCATGATAACATGTTTAAATCATATCACTTCATGCACTTACTTTGCCCTTCATTCGCTTCATTTCAGCCACGCTGTTGTAAACTCTAGGTGTCCTTGCAGGAGATGCAGGCTGCGACGAGGATGCACTTCCACCCATTCCACACTGCATGCAAAATTCACACACATTAAATCATTGCAAAGTGGCCTGTGAATGGTTTCACAGTGCATCACACATCTCCCTCAAGTGCTCATTCCCCAAATCATGACATGTCATATTCATGGTGAACAGTGAACGAAAAAAAGGCATTGCTCGTACAGTGAACATCCTGCTTCATGGATTCCAAAGACATGCTTCAGAGATTTCCAATCAGTAATTCACCACAAATTTCCATAAAACACAGTGAAAACCAGACATAGACACAGGCCGAACAACATGCAAGAAAATCCAAATGTGAGACAAGACAGTGCCGTTTTTCTTCCTTACCTGGAAGTACGAGCTCATGAGTGCGGATCCTCCACTGCCCTGCTGCCGCTGGAACAGCTCCTCCAGCTCCGTGGCGGTGATCCTGGAGGAGGTGGGCCTGGCGCGGATGGACGCCGTGCGGGGGTGGCCGGCCTGGCCGCCCGCGCTTGTGTTGAGGCCCCCAGCCACAGAGCCCGTGTTGGAGTTGGTGCCGGACGCACAGTGGATCGACTCCGCACTGCTGCTTCGGCCCGTGCTGCTTTCCAGACCCTCCTCGCGCTCACCGCCTCCCTCTGCAAAATCAGAGTAACGTCGTTAGATTGCGGAAACAAGAAAAGCTTACGTGTGGATCCACTTTCAGGGATCTTACCAAGCCCAGCAACCATTGACCGTGCTCGAGCCCGTCCCACACTCAGGGTAGTGCGGGGGTCTCTTCTTGGAGGCAATGGAGCTGGCGACCTTCCTGCAAATCGATGGAAGAAAAAGACGTCAGTTTAAGAAACAGAAAAGGTACAAGTCAAGAGACTCCACGATCACTCTCGGAAAAATATCTCACCCAGCGTGCTATTGTTGCTAAGTTTACGAGGTAAAGTGGCGTACTGCCTTGTGGGAGGTGTGGCTGGCGCTGTTCCCGTACCATTGCTACCCGTGCATGAGAATGTCATGCTTGACTTGGAGTTCGGTACAGTGCTTATCATGGAAGCCGCAGGTGAAACAACAGTCATTTGGACTAAATCCCCGGATCGACGAATCAGTGACACCACATGTTCATGAGATGCAGATGACACATCCTCCCCATTAATCTGAAATTAAAAAAATTATTTCCAAATCAAAATTATCTATATATTTTTTTTTGTTTTGCTCAATTATTGGGGCTAATGTTTGTGCTTGAATACTTACTGCAACAAGGTAATCCCCTTTGTGGAGGCCAGCTAAATCTGCCACGCCTCCCTGATCAACATCATCCAAATACTGCAATCCAGGGCAACGTTCTGAAGGCTGCAATTCCATGAGTGGTGATGTAGCCTTTGCTCCTCGCAACACAAAGCCAAATCCTTTTCTTGACCGATGAAGGACCACTGTCCTTGGTTCAGCAGCCACCCTAAAAAATAAAGTTGCTTCAAACCACTGAAAGCTTTGAGTAAATCAGTTTATAGGTAATATACTTACTGTTTCTTTTGACGAGGAGCTGTGGCGAAGTGTTTGTTGTTTACCTCTCGCCTGCCTAACACACGAGAGGAAGAGGGTCGACATAATGTGGAGGTAGAGCCCGCTGAGCCATTGACAGAGCCATTGGCAGAGCCTGGCCTCAGCATCACTTCCTGGACGCAGTGGGATGGGAACAAGCCAGATCCTCGACCACGAAGAGTTCCTTCCAACAATCCACAGTCTGTTGCTCCGGTCACTGAAAAATTTTGAAATAAAATAGGTTAAAATCCAATATTTTTGAAAAACTACTGACATACAGCTGATGAGTCATGGACTAAGTGCTTGGAAAAAAGCAAGAATATTTACCTTCAAGTATGTCTCCTTGCATTATGTTGAGGTGGCCAGAAAGATTTGAACTGTAGTTTTCCAGGCAGATGACAGTTGTTCCAGGAAGACTTATGGAGTTACTCAAATCACTTGTGGCAGTGCCAACGCCAGAGCTGTCACTGGTTTCATCCACACTTTTATCTAGGGAGCAAGAATGGGGTACAATTATTTGAAAAGTTTGGATGCATCCTTTGTAAATATAGTCAAGAAAATTATAATGATAAATAATGAATGCAAGAACATTCACACACATTTCCCTGAACTATTTTCTGACAGAAGCTCCCATATTTTAGCGGTAGAATTGATGAAAATGAAAAACATAGAAAGCTCTAGGAGAATATTTCTAACATAGGAAATGCAGCAGAATTGCAGCCAAGGGCTTAGCCAAGCATGGGCAGCAAAAAAAATTTAAAAAATTTTGCAGTGTCAATGAAGAAAGCTGACACTCTGTTCCAGATGAATAAATCTAGGCATGAAATATTCCAGGCTCCTAACAAAACTTAGCTTTACAGCTTTTTTTAAAAAAAAATGAGTTTTAAAAATTTAGTTTGGCTACAGCTAGAACTAATAGTAGAGAATGTACATGGAACTATTGTCTACACACCAACTCTAAGGTGCCAAATTAGAAAAGATTAAAAAAAAAAAAAAAACTGACAGGAAGTTATTCTTAATTTGTTTCAAAAGTGCACTTTTTGGCAATATTTCTCATCCAAGTAAAACAGCTAATAATTAAATTGATCTAGTTGAAATAATGCTATAAATATCCAGAAGACAATTCCTCTAAGGCAATCATGCATCTGATAGCATTATCTGAATGGACATGAAAGAAGTATTGAGAGCCCCTAAGGGATGAAAATATGAAACCTGAGGTTGCTGTTTGAATGTTTTATGGAGACCTGCAGAAAGATGTCCATTGTCATTTGTAGAACTGTTTTGCAGTTTCCTCTTTACCTGTAATGATGCTGACGCAATCTTCTCCGACACTTGGCTGTGTTGAAGAACCGCTTGAGGTTTCGCTCATGGAAGATGAAGCGTAGCTGTAGGGGGGCACTGATCTGTTTGAGAGGGAGGGGGAAGGGGGCAGGAGCACAACGTCCAAGTTGCTGGTCGTAGATGGGGACGTCACCAAGCCAGTGCCATAAATATCAGAATATCTTCTCCTTCGTGGGTTATACTGAGGGAGCTCCCGATATGGGACTGAAAAACCAGCAGACAACAAAACGTAAAGTAACAAGCAAATAATCAGAACTCAAACAAAAGGAAAACAAGTAGACGCGAAATCAAGAGCGGCTCAGAAATGAAGATGAGTTAAAATCAAACTGAATATGTATTATGGGTTACTTTCTTTCTCGGACAACATTTGTATCAACCTCAGAATCAAAGAGTGTCAACCAGATTTAGTTATAAAATTTGGATATAGGTATAAAAGATTTCTTGATCTACACAAAGTTAGAAGACTACAAAAGCTTCTCAAAATGATTTTATGATATTAGATAAAACTACACCATATATTTACACATGCTACTGAACTAAAAGTTCATCTACAAAACAACACAGAGATCATGCACTAGTCATGCTTACAACTATAGTCAAGTAGAAAGACTCCCATGATATTTGGATATTTGTGATGTATACCCTTTGATTCCATATTTAACTAGGAGCAACATCAGGTCATAACACTCACCAACTTGGTCAGACCGGAAGTTCTGGATCACCTCAGCAAGTTCAAGATTGCCAGCAATCACAGCAACTTGATAAGGCGACTGATTTGCATAGTTGAGGGCATCTCGTTGGCAACCTCTAAACAAGAGCATTCGGGCAGAAGAGTCTTGGTTATTAACTGCACAAACGTGAAGGGGAGTATTTCCAGAGGCATTTTTGGCATTCATGTCTGCTCCGTATGACAGAAGGTGTTCTAAATGGACAACAAGTCCATTGCGGCAGGCCTGGAAAGGAACAAGAGGAAGAGGCTTTACTTGTTGAACATTTGCTTTCACCAATCAGAAAAGTTTACTTTAGGGTTGAAGGTTCATACCTGGTGCACCTCCTGCCAACCCTGTAAGTCCTGGGCTCCGATGACGGCTCTATCATGCAGGAGGGTTTGGGCAAGCATTGGATCTGTGCGATGAGTGACAGTCAAGTACAAGGGTGTCAGACCCTTGCCATCTTTGTAGTTGGGCGATGCTCCAAGCTCCAAAAGCGTAGACAAGGCTTCCAAGCTTCCCTTCTCCACTGCACGATGCATCGCTGTTGAACCATCTCGAGTACGATAGTCAAGGATAGCACCTCCGTTTACAAGGGCCATGAGGACCTTGCCAGGTTTCTTAATTGCCACAGCTAGGGTAAGCGGTGTTTCTGGAAAAGGTAAAAGGATCATTAATAACCAATCACCAATTCAAATCCAGCAGTAAAAACCAATTTATGATCACAAGATTCATTACCTCCTGAGTCTGGACAGTGGAAATTGGGATCAAGACCCTTTGAACACATTTTAGTTATCTTCTCTACCTGGCCATGGGTCACATAGTCGAGCAAACGACGCAAGTTTGATCGAGTGTGAAGAGCCTTCAGTTGTTTCTCATCCAAATTCAGCATCTTGTATACTCGGCGTTTATACTTGAGCTAGAAAAGACATGAGGATTAGGCTAGAAGACAGGTGTAGACCATCACTCAGAGACAGCCTAAATCTGAGACATACCTCGAGATAACCAATAGGTCCATTGAATGGGTAGTCTCCGAGTCTCCTTTCTTCGTCCAGAAACTTGCCAGCTTTCCCGTTCACAGGTGGCGAAAAGAGGCCATAGTTGAAGCTTTCCTTCAACTCCTACAACAGACAGAACAGGCCAGTGTGATGACAAAGCCAACGCAGACACGAACCCTAAACATTCTAGACCAGATTTTCTGGCTCCTCGTTCATGCCGACAGCGACGCAAGCAAATACGAGTTCGCGGGCAAAGCGGCCAAATTACCACTCAAAATTTGGAAAACTCGGTACTCACGAAAGCGCAACGTAAACAAACAACAGGTGCCTTTTTGAAACTTTGAAAGCCGGCCCTTCTGCCAAGTCAATTTCTCATACCCGTCAGCAAAGGAATGTCCTGCGGACAGTGCGGCACTGCGAATAGCGCAGGCGCGGCGAAGAGCGGACGATTCGAACCGAGGCGGCAACCGGTCCGTATCCGCTCCACAGTGGGCCAGAAGACCGGCGCTGGCGGCCAAAACTCTGAAAGCGTTTAGAGCTCCAGAGTCGCTAAAGGGGACTCGAACCGAACGTGTGACCCTACCAATGGATTCCTCGTTCGGAGAGCAATCCATTGGTGGGGTCACACGCTCGGTACGAGTCCTATTTAGCGACTCTGGAGCTCAAAACGCGTCTAGAATTTTGGCCGCCTGCGCCGGTCTTCTGGCCCACTGAGCGGCGCCCCGCAGTCAAGTCGAGTCCAAAGTCCGTAAGGTATGCAAGGTGCTGCCATGGTGCTGCGTGCAACGGTGCAGCCGAACCATCCGAAAGGGTCGTTTCGTTGCTCTGTCTCACTCGCACTCATGGGGCGCCCCGCAAGCGTGCGAGTGAGGCAGCGACAGCGGTGATACGATCCTTCGAGATAGCTCGGTAGAAGAATTGAACTGAGAAGGAAAGCGTGCTACCGAAATGGAAATATCGAAGTGACATCACCGACGATGCGGGATTGCCATTTCGTCTCGACCAGTGTGCCAGCTAAACGGATGCCATGCGTCGACCACTGCACTGCCATTGCAGTGTACTGACGCTTGGAGTCTCCAGAAAGTCTGGCGCCTGCCTGTATGCCTGTGGGCTGCAGACTGCCGCTGCTTCGGTCATTTCACTGACAACAGCCAAGAGCACCAAAATGAAAAGAAAAAGGAGCAGCCGTGAAACAAAGCAGAGCTGTGCAGTGGGCCAGAAGGACAGCCGCAGGCGGCCAGAACTCTAGACGCGTTTTGAGCTCCAGAGTCCCTAACCGGGACTCGAACTGAACGTGTGACCCCACCAATAGATTCCTCGTCCTGAGTAGCAATCCATTGGTGGGGTCACACGTTCGGTTCGAGTCCTGTTTAGCGAGTCTGGAGCTCAAAACGCGTCTCGAATTTTGGCCGCCTGCGCCGGTCTTCTGGCCCACTGTGCTGTGTGAGTGCGATTGCTGCTAGAGGCAGTTTGGCAGTTTGCAGTGCATCTAGAGTAGCGGGCTCAGCGAGCCCGGCTGGCCGCTGAGCGGGTACACTGTAAAAATTTGAGTCGTCACTTGATGACAATTTTAAGGCTAGTTTTCCTTACAACAATGTCATCAAAACATCAAAACAAAACACGCCTATGCATTCAGTATAGGAGCTTTGATGAAAATGTCGTCAATTTGTGATGAGATTGTCGTCATTTTTGAAATTTTTCGTCTTTTGTCACAAAGTGACAACAAATTTTCACAGTGTAGCGGCCTAGAGGGCGAGACGACGAGTCGACCTACCCTGAACCACGTGGCCACCTGTGGTGAGGCGTCGAGGAGGCGACGACGGCGAACACAGAAAGGATTAGTCCAAACAAGCGGAGTGGCTGTACTGTGTACTGGGCGGTGCATTGTCAAACCGGGGCAAACGGCCCGACGGCGCAATGGGAAAAGTTTCATTTCTTTTAAATTGATAAAAAATCTATTTTATTCAGCAAGAGTCGTGTATGAAATTAAAATTTGAACAATTAGAGACAGTTTTCTTTCTACGGTAGACGAAAATGAGTTGTTTTAAACAGAGAAACCCATTACGCCGTCTGGGGATTTTACTTTCAGGAAGCAAATGTGAAGCATTAGGGGGTGGAAAGCACTATTTAAGTGGTGGTTTTGCTGCTGTTCAATCGGGTTAGCAATGCAACGTGTTTTGAGGATTTTACTCTACGTAAAATTGTGAGCGCCCAGGGAGCTGGGTTCGACACGATTATTTCAATTTTTAAAGTGAAGCTTGTGGCAGTCGTGTGGCTTGTGAAAACGCCACGAAGACAGCAAGTGTGGGGTGGAACCAGACGCTACGACACACAAACACGACAAATCGACACACAGTGGACCAGAAGGCCGGTGGAGGCGGCCAAAACTCAAGACGCGTTTTGAGCTCCAGAGTCGCTAAATGAGACTTAAGCCGAAAATGTGACCCCATGTGACCCCACACCAATGGATTCCTCGTTCCGAGACCAATCCATTGGTGGGGTCACCCATTCAATTCGAGTCCAATTTTGAGACTCTGAAGCTCAAAAGGCGCCTAGAATTTTGGCCGCCTCTACCGGTCTTCTGGCCCACTGTGCGACAGTAGGTGGTGAGAAAGGCAAAGTGTGCGATCTCCCGACAGCTATGGTTTGACACCCCGAAGCAACAGGCACCCGGTGCCTGTATGCCAAGCGTGACAAGGTTTACTGTAGTAATTAAAGGGAGGTTTCCGATGAGTAATTTTGTTTGTCATGTAGGGGTGGGTAAGTAGGGGAAGAAAAGTATACTGAATCAAAAGACGATGGATGCCTGTCAAGCTATCAGCTCCACAAACGTGTACTCTTCTTCCCCAGCTTACCCCGAGGGGGAAAAAAGGTTAAGTTCGTCAAACTTTGGTCAATTTCTCCGCCGTACTTGGTGCCGCTGCAACGCGTTGACGGCGTCGAGGTGCAACAAGTGGGCAGGGCGCGTTGGCTCACCTTGGGCAGGGCGGCGAGGCACTGCTGCTTCACGTCCCACACCAACTGGTCCCGGGGGAACTGCAGGCACTTCTGCACGTTGAGCTCGGGCACGTGCACCTGGATGAGGAGGTAGCCCTCCTCCGGGGCCGTCTGGTTGGGCCCCACCATGACCCCCATGCCCCCGGTGTGGCCCGCGCCCGGGCCGGAGCCCCCTGCGGGGCCGCCGTCAGCCATGAGGCCCTCGAAGGGGCGGCCTGCCGGCGAGGCCGAAGGCGTCACTGGAGGGGTTACATCTGCAACACACAGGGGAAGCGGAATTAGTTTCGGTGAAAAGGCGGCAACTCACAGTGGGCCAGAATACCGGCGCTGGCGGCCAAGACTCAAGACACGTTTTGAGCTCCAGAGTCGCTAAATGGGACTCGAACCGAACGTGTGACCCAACCAATGAATTCCTCGTTCGGAGAGCAATCCATTAGTGGGGTCACACGTTCAGTTCGAGTCCCATTTAGCGACTCTGGAGCTCAAAACGCGTCCAATTGCGGGTATGTTCAGTACACGGAAAAAACGGTTTCTGGTTTTCTCAGGGACTCCCTGGAAATCATTTATCATTTCAGTATGCTCCCTGGAAAAACCAGGAACCACCTACTTAAAAAATAGCCACAACAAATAAATTAAAAACATCAAATACAATTATTCGATTTTGATATCGTCCTTCCGCAGCAACATTCGATCACTTTCTTTTTTGCTTTTCGGGGTGAGACGCCCTTGAGGACCAAGGGACCAAGGGCAAGGCTGGGCAAGCGTGCCCGGGCCGGGACAGGGCAACCGAGAGCCGATACAGCGTAACCATGGTGACCACGGAGACGGTACAGGATCGATCTGAGCACCAAGAGGCTGCCTACGGCCGGGCAACCCTCCTCCCCTCCTCGCCCACCGCCGCCGCGGCGCCGGCACACAGTGGACCAGAAGACCGGTGGAGGCGGACAAAACTCTAGACGCGTTTTGAGCTCCAGAGTCGCTAAATGGGACTCGAACCGAACGTGTGACCCCACCAAAGGATTCCTCGTTCGGAGAGCAGTCCATTGGTGGGGTCACACGTTCGGTTCGAGTCCCGTTCAGCGACTCTGGAGCTCAACACGCGTCCTAGAGTTTTGGCCGCCTCCACCGGTCTTCTGGCCCACTGTGCGGCAGGCAGCGAGCGTGGCGCAGCGCGCAGCCTAGTGGGGTCGTGACCATGTCCACGAACCGGGCGCGTCCGGGCGTGGCGGCGTGGCGGGGCGGGGCGTGGCGGGCGGGCGGGCGCGGGGCGGGGCGTGGCGGGGCGGGGCGTGGCGGGGGCGGGGCGGATAGGCATTCCAATAAGCCCCGCGCGCCAGTTCATCGAACAATGCGAATCCATTTTGCGGAGAAAGAAGCACGCACGCGCCGCGCGCGCGAGGCTCCAAAAATTCCAAATCATGACGGGGGAAAGAGGAAAAGGTAAAAATAAAGAGGGGAAACCGAAAATAATATCAAAAAGGGAGACAGGTTGAGTCACGAGGGGAGAGCCTCGCTGCGAGGGCTGCCTCTGTGTGAGTGTGAGTGTGTGTGTGTGTGTGTAACGCCATCATCGGAAGTGCTCATACGAGTGTGCAAATTGCTCGCCCTGGGGCTCACGGTGGCCGGTCCGTCACTCTACCTCTCGTGTGTGTGTGTGTGTGTGTGTTTGTGTGTCGCGAAGAGGGAGAAACTGTTGGGAGTCGAATCACGTGAGGACGGGCAGGACGACGCGGCCAGAGGGTTGTGTTGGACCTATGCAGCCTCAGTCCGAACAGTGTGCTTCCGCCCTTCTGTCTCTCTCGCACTTCTGGGGGGCAGACATCATATGAGAGAGACAGACGGAGTGCTGCTGCTTTTTGGAGACGGCCCGCTGGCCGCCTCACAGTGGGCCAGAAGGCCGCTGGAGGCGGCCAAAACTCAAGACGCGTTTTGAGCTCCAGAGTCGCTAAATGGGACTCGAACCGAACGTGTGACCCCACCAATGGATTGCTCTCCGAACGACGAATCCATTGGTGGGGTCACACGTTCAGTTCGAGGCCCGGTTAGCGACACTGGAGCTCAAAACGCGTGTAGAGTTTTGGCCGCCTCCACCGGTCTTCTGGCCCACTGTGCGCCTTGTGCGGAGGGTGGAGGGAAGGCCCTGGTGATTGAAACGTTAACGACGGACTCCCCGTGGAGGCCCTTGCGCCCTTCCAGGACCTCCCCGGCCCTTCCGCGTCCTTCGCGGCTTAAGTCGCCCCGTCTGCCCGTGACGGCCAGTTTAATTGGAAAATGTTTGGGGGAAGTTGGCGTGAATCGGATGGGCCCGCCACTGTAAAGGCGATCAAATCCACTAAAATCTGCTTCATTTTCTGGATGATAATATCATTTCGCCCGAGAGGGTGAGTGTCCAATGTGAACAGCCGTGGGTCTCGTACGGGTTCTGAGCGCAAGCTGTTGGGCTGTAAAAATAATCAAGTCTAATCGACTCATGTTTCGTTGTGAATTTTAATTTTGCAATTTTCTGCGTGATTGTCACCTTCACGGAGAGCAGTGCTCTACGAGTTCTTCGCAAAGATTTACTCGAAGAACCTCACACTGTTAATCTTCTTTTTTGCAGTGCGCCTGCCTGCCCCAACCAGCCCCAACCCAACCACCCCCAGTCTTGAAGGAGCGCTCCCCACACACCCCTATTTCTTGGCGGGCGGTGAGACGCCGGGGTGCGGACGTCTCTCTCTCTCTCTCTCTCTCTCTCTCTCTCTCTCTCTCTCTCTCTCTCTCTCTCTCTCTCTCTCTCTCTCTCTCTCTCTCTCTCTCTCCCTCCCTCCCTCCCTCCCAACCCCGCGTAGGGTGCCGCAATAATTCAAAATCAAAAGAAGTAGCGGAAAAACACAACAACATAAACCACGCCTGACGGAGTCGCATGAAAAACAGTTTGGAACGGGGGGTCAAAAATCCCTAGGATAAACGGGTGGAAAAGGCTGATCTTTTTTTTTCAGAAAAGACAGGGAGACGACCAGACAAAAGCAACCGGTGCCAACTTTTTTTTTTCTCATTTTTTTTGGTCTGTAATTTTGTGTGGCAGTGTTGCCAACGTGCCGGACGCCGTGCCGCCCGAGAGGTATTCGGGACAGTGCTGCCAACCGCAAGCGGCCTAGCCTCAGCGGCGCTTCCGAAACCTCAGCAGGCTCAGCACGCTGACACCGAGCCGAGCGGCGCACAGTGGGCCAGAAGACCGGTGGAGGCGGCCAAAATCCCGGACGCGTTTTAAGCCACAGAGTCGCTAAATGGGACTCGAACCGAACGTGTGACCCCACCAATGGATTGCTCTCCGAACGAGGAATCCATTGGTGGGGTCACACGCTCGTTTCGAGTCCTGCTTAGCGACTCTGGAGCTCAAAACGCGTCTGGAGTTTTGGCCGCCTCCACCGGTCTTCCGGCCCACTGTGTGGCGGTGTCGAGCCAGAAAGCCACCGGTTGGCACCATTGGCACCACCGCACCGCACTCACTCACCACAAGTGTGACAACGTGTCTCACTCCAACCCCGGCCCTGCGATTGGTCCCGCTCGCTCCGTCTCTCTCGCACCCCTGCGAAACGCCTTCAGTGCGAGAGAGACAGCGATGGCCCGCTGGGACTCCGTGTCCATTAGGTGTCCCTCTCCCTACGCCCTGCTCGGCGAGTGCAGACATGCAGGCGGCCCTGGCGGCCCTGGAAGGCCTGGAGGCCCTGGAGGCCCTTGGCCCTAAGGGCTGCAGTGTAGGGGCGGAGGGTGGCTCGCTGAAGGGCTGCTTGATAAATCCCCGACAGCCGAGACACACGATAAAGTTGCTGCTCCCCCTTAATCTCTGGCTGGCTCGCCGTCCCGGTCCTCGTCGTCCTCGCCGTCCTGCTGGGCGCCCTCCACATATCAAGTCAGTTCGGCCGGCCTCCCACAGTGGGCCAGAAGGCCGGCGGAGGCGGCCAAAATTCAAGACGCGTTTTGAGCTCCAGAGTCGCTAAGCAGAACTCTTACCGAACGTGTGACCCCACCAATGGATTGCTTTCCGAACGAGGAATCCATTGGTGGGGTCACACGCTCGGTTCGAGTCCCATTTAGCGACTCTGGATCTCAAAACGCGTCCAGGACTTCGACCGCCTCCACTGGTCTTCTGGCCCACTGAAACTCCCTATCGACCCCCTGCAAGCCTTGCAGCAGGCCAACGACGCGACCTAACCTTCCAGCTCATCCATGGACGGGGCACTCGTTAATCCCCGTCTCTTTACCGCCGTGATGAACAACGTGTAATAGGAGCCAGGGGTCTCCTTGCGCCGCTCTATGCCTGTCTCTCTAAATCTCTCAACGTATCCTAAAGTCCTGTACCGTCTCTCTATGCCTGTACCGCCTCTCTATGCAGAACTGCATCGCTTTACGTCTCTCTGGACTGCTTTGAATCTCTTTACATCTCTCTACACCGCCCCGCACCGCTCTCGTCTCTCAAATTCACTCTACGCGAGGCACTGCGTCTCTCCAGCCTCTCTACGCCGCTCTACATCGCAGTGCACCGCCGGACGAGTCGGCCAATGACGTAGCTGGCTCCATTCATGCAAGGAGATGCATCGCTACTCAAAGCCCCCCCCCCCCTTCCAGGACCTAAACGAGGATGCATTGGCAGCAGGACGCACGATGAACCTGAGTGCACGGCAGCCGAGGGTATCGAACTCGCGGACGCGAGGAGGGGGGGGGGGGGCTAAGCCAAGGGAGTGGGCGAAGAGCGATGCAACATGGATACACACACGCGCCGAGTCCAGGGAGTGCTGCCGACTTGACAAAAAATTCCAACTTTCCGAGTTTCAGAATAGCGTGTGGCGTCCACCAATGGATTGTTCCTTCGGAGAGCAATCCATTGGTGGGGTCACACGCTCGGTTCGAGTCCCATTTAGCGACTCTGGAGCTCGAAACGCGTCCGGGATTTTGACCGCCTCCACCGGTCTTCTAGCTCACTGTGCAGCGCACAGAAAAGTACGGTCTTCTTAGGAGGGTCGATTTTGTTTTCCGTTGAGCGGTTCGCGAGGAAAGGATAAACCGCAGCGACAATCCAGTGCGAGTGTCCCCCCGTGGGGCGTGGCGCGGGGGGCCCGGAGCCGTACCGGTCTTGGAGCCCCCTTCATCGACCAACCAGCCCCCTCGCCCCTCCAGCGGCTCCAGCGGCTCCAGCCCTGCCGTACTGCCGAGCGCCGTGCCCTTCCAGAGAGGAATGACCTCCGGAAGCCGGCCGCGCTCCAGCCTTGGCTCC